TCTACTAGAGTAAACACTGTAACCAGGCTAAAAACATTTCCTTTGTTCTCGTAGTTATTAGAGAAAGGAGGAGGCCAGAGAAGTCATATCATTTCAGTTCTCTGACCTTCGTCCTGGATTATTTAATATTGACAGGCAGGCAGGATATACAGAGGTTAAGGACACAGACCCAGGAGCCTGGTGCCGGACCCTGACCCTGCCACTAACTAGCTATGTGACTTGGAGCAAGTTCCTCAACTTCCGTATACTTCAGTTTCTTTGTCTATGAAATCACAATCATAAAACTACCTACTTCAGTTATTTTTATATATGATGATTTTTTTTTTCTTTGAGATGGAGCCTGCTCTGTCATCCAGGCTGGAGTGCAGTGGCACGATTTCAGCTCTCTGCAACCTCTGCCTCCCTGGTTCAAGCAATTCTCTTGCCGCAGCCTCCTGAGTAGCTGGGATTATAGGCACCTGCCATCACACCTGGCTAATTTTTGTATTTTTAGTATTTTTGTATTTTTAGTAGAGACAGGGTTTCACCATGTTAGCCAGGTGGGTCTCAAACTCCTGACTTCAAGTGATCGGCCTACCTCGGCCTCCCAAAGTTCTGGGATTACAGGCATGAGCCACTACGCCCAGGCTGTGTATGATGATTTAAATGTGTAATATACTTAAAGATCTTAGAACCATGCCTAGCAATATTAATGCCATTTAAGTGACAGTTATTAGAAAAGCTACTGTTATTAAAGAACAATGCAAGGGATTGTTCAAATGCACATAATCATAAAATATGGAGTCAAGGCTGGGCACGTTGGGTAGCTCACGTCTGAAATCCCAACTCTCTGGGAGGCTCCCTTGTGCCCAGGAATTCGAGACCAGCCTGGGCAACATAGTGATACCTTGTCTCTACAAACAAAGAAACAATAATAACAACAACAAAAATACAGAGTCAAAATGAAAGAGTCTTGTCAAAGCTGGTAGTCATGAGGCTGTTAGTTCTTCCACTAGGAAGATAAAAAGTTATTATTTTGCTCCTACTCTATTTGTTGAAAGATGAATGAATGAGGCGTGAAGAACTTGACTAGTTTGATGATGATGGCTTAATGAAGAGGAAAGCATACAAGATCTGGAAGTGAAAACCCAAAACATGAGTCCTGGCTTAGCCTCATTCTAATTTGACAGGTGATTTACCACAGGTACTCAGTTTCCTCATCTTTAAAAGAGGGAAGGCTGAGGGAGAATTTCTGAGGTTCACTCCACATCAAAAGTTCTGCGGGGCTAGATATTTGTATAAAAGGTAATGTAATCATGACTATGGAAGTCTTTTTCACATACCTAGTGTATTTCCAAAAAGGATTATCAAATTGGAGACAATGCCATTTGTTTGTGTTTTTTAAATCATTATGTACGAATCTGAGCCATGAACAGAACAAATCCTGAAATCCATGAAAATGGATTACCTTTAGCTGGACTTGATAAGTTGTAAAGCTCTTGGATTGGGAGAGTAAAACTGATAGGGACATTTTCCCATTCATCTTAAATGAATTTTTGGAGACTCTCAAGAGTAAAATATAATCCATACACATCTAATGCTAATTCATCATGAGCACTTAAAGAATGCAAGAACTGTTATCTAGTTTAGTTTAGCAATTCTCTGCTAAATGAAATTAAGCTGATTTAGTTGAGCTTTTAAAATATGAAGGGGAAAAGCTTAAATCCAAAGGATTTTGTAGAACTAGCATCCGGACGGTCTTTCTTCAGATTATGGTCCTAGAATCTGGGTTCCCTGGAGCTGCCTCTCATTACTGTCAGGATTGAGGACTAGAAAAGAGCTGGAAGAGGCTTGGCCACCTTTATAGGTTTTCAGTAGTGCCATGAAGATTTCACTTGGTTGAGGGTGGTGGGGAGGATAGAAGATTCTGTTATGGAAACAAAAGAAAAAGAAAAGGGAGAGTGGTCTGAAATCGAAAAGCCTGGATTATATAGACAAGCTTTGAGTCAAACAAGGTTTAAATTTTAGCTTTGCTACTTTTCAGTTATGTGGCCTTGGGCGAGTGGGTTAATCTCTCTAAGTCACACTTTGCACGTGTAATAGTGTTTCTTACTTTAAAGGGTTACTGTGAAGATTAAATGAGCGAATACATGTAAAGCACTTGGCCTCTTCTACCTAGAACATACTCAGCTCTAATAAATGGTGACTGACAGCTACAAGGCAAATAACCTATATTCCCTTTTAGCGTCTTATGCTCCCTCTGGAATGCCTCAGAAGCATAGGAAGCACTGTTTAAGCCTCCCGCAATCAAAATTCATTCTTTTTAATGAGCCCTAATAGACCCTATGGGTTTTTTTTTTTTTTTTCCAAAATCTATTCATAGTTTAATGTGGGCTATGGACAAAGATTCACTTTGTAAGACTGTCTAACTAGGTTAAAAATAAAATATGCAGAAATGTGTGGAACTTCAACAATAGAATATAAGAAAATGAATTCTTAACTGAAAACAAAGGCATTATAGTATATGAATGTGTATGTAAAGTAAAAGTCTGGAAAGTATAAACAGCACTATGTTAACAGTTGCTACATCTGGGGAAGGGAGAAGGATTGGAGAGGAGGTGGGATATACCTTATTATTGTTTTAATGTTTTATATATTTATTTACATACTGTTAATTAAAAACAAACAAAAAAAGCAAACCAAAAGCAAAGTCATAGTACAAACTGAAATAAACATTTAGGATACAGAACTTGTAAAATAAACCAAAGTAGACAAGAATCAAAGAATTGATCCCTGGGACATTCAATGACTTGATACAAGGTCACCTTCTACTTAGTTAACTGTTCTTGAGGGGTAAGGAGAGCACAGGGTCAGGAGAGATGTCTGATCCTGTCTCCAGCGACTGATAGATCCAGGTTAGAAGGTAGATGAAGCTGCCTGCCAGTTATCTTGGTAGAAACTTCCTTCTGCATGTACTCAGATAAGACATCAGTACCCTGGGTTGTTCTTTGCAAAATTCAAGGTCTGTGGAGTCACCAACTGAAGTCAATTGGTAAATTATGATTTTAAGCAAAACAAAACCAAATGGTAAATTAATATTTCTGTTAGTTTATTTTGATAGCAAAGAAAATAAAAGACAATTTAAAATTTACGTAACTTAAATCTACATTGCTTAAGAACATCTGACTGAGGAGTTTTAGAATATCCCCAATACCATGAAATAAATACAGTAAATAAAAGGGAGTAGGGAGTTTAAATATTGAAAGCACTGAAATGCTATGATTTTTTTAAAATTGACAAAACATTTGTTTATTATTGAAAATTGGGGCTGGGCCTGGTGGTGAACATCTGTAATCCCAGTAATTTAGGAGACTCAGGCAGGAGGATCACTTAAGCCCTAGAGGTCAAGACCACTCTGGGCAGAGATGACAGAGACGTCATCTCTAAAAAAAATAAAAGTAAATATTTCTAGAGGGACAGAACTAATAGATATATAATAAATAAATAAATAATAAAAATAAAATTAATTGTCGCAAAGGGCCCTTCCCTTGGGAAGAAATATTTCGACGGCAGGGAAAAACTCAGAAGCATTGTGGAGCTCTGTGAAGTTACACTGACTTGCTTTCATTCAGCTTGCAGCTCCACTAGTGAGAGATTTCACATGGTACTCCCACTCCAAGAGCAGGGACCCGGCCGGACAGGTTGGTTTTGTTTTGGTTTTAATGCATATGCTTTGGCCCACAGACTTTGAAAAAGCTTTTGCTTTACTGATGAGAACTCAGTCCAGGGTGCTTGGGAGTCTTTGCCGGCCCTCTAGCTGGGCCTGACGTATTGCCTGCATTTCTAGCCCTTGCCTTCCCAGTTTGCCCATTTGGTGCAGGGAGGTAGTCCAACCCACCCTGAAATTCACTGGGTTCTGCGGATGAGTTAGCTGAAGAGCTGTATTTCAAGAGTGGCACCGAAAGGACCTGAATGAAGGGAAGGACGAATGAATGGAGGAAACCATTTTGGTGGAATTGCCCTAGGGTATTAAATAGGATGGGGCAGCTGGGGCCTGGAGGATGTTCCTTTTCCTAACGTTGTTTAAAAAACGCTATCCTGAAGAGTGTCAGTCATCATTCCTTTAACAATCATTCATTTCTTACCTCCTACTTGTGTATAAATTTGCAGATTTACACAGACCATGAGTGTGGCCATCTCAGTGAACTGAGTTTATTGTGAAATATACATGCAAAAAATCCTTTTTCTCACCTACAATCAATGCAACATTATTAATACTTTGAGTTAAAGAATAAATAGTTTAAGAAATAAATGCATACAGCAACATAACCTTGAATTATCACTCACACACAGACCTCCCACTGCTCCCTCCTTCTAAAAAAAAAAAAAAAAAATGAGGCAGTTACACCAAGCAAAAGCAAAATTGAGGCAACTTAAAATAGACAATTTTAAATGCTGGATTCCATCATTTCTGCAAAGGTCATTCTAGTCCTTTGCTATTTATACCATAGATAGAGACACAGCAAATTATTGGCTGAATGGATTTGGGAAGCCAGAGAAGCTGCTGCTTCTGACGAATGAAGATGATAATGCAGCACTTGAGACTGAGTGGATGAAAGGTGTGGAAAAGTTGAACCCTTCAAAGATAAGAGAGAGGAAGCTGCTAAATTAGCCCCTGACTAAATTACTAGCCATAACTGTACTCAGGCCAATTCTCTTTGCAACTGCCTTGTAATCTTTGTTGTGGCTTAAGAGAGAAAAATCCCCATTCCCAGCTCAAACCCTTTTTAAGGCATCTCAGCCCAACCCCCTCTTCCCAATGCAACTCTTCATAACCCCCCGCCCCTCCTCCAACAAATTCGAATCAAGGCAGGTATAGTTCTCAGCTTTACCACTGCTATCAGAAGCACCGCTTACACTGAGGGTTTAGCAACCAAACCTTAGGCTTACTTCATGCAAACACTGAAAAGCATTTAAGAGAAGCACAGAAAACAAAAGAAATAATCAAAACCTGTCCTTACCCGCTTCTTAAAAAATTGGAAGGCTGAGCATTTCTTGACTGGGAATCCATTCATGTCTTTGTTTACCATTTTCCACCGTGGGGAATTCACAGTTATAGATCCAGGGTGGCACCCGCCTGGTTAGTGCATCTGTTTCCCCGGTTTACCTCCTGGAGACAGTTAATGAAGACGGAGCGGGATGGAGAATCTAGCGGGGCTCAGTTCTTCACTCGCGCATTCTGCAGCACCAGCTACTGCAGCAACCTCTCCCCACTTTCAGTGGCCACCGGCCGCGGCATCTCTCCTTCCATCATTGCTCCGAAACATATGCATCACTGCTGCAGGACCCTGGGGGTCGGACGGTGGGATACGGCCAACCTCCGAGGAGCTGATGCTGCGGCTCCGACCGAGCCGGAGAAGGGTACCCCTCCCCGCCCCCAGCTACCTGGCTGCTCCTCGGCGGACGGCGCGGGGAGCCAGTCGCTCTTCTCCAGGTGATGCGCTCCTGGAGGCTGCTTGAGAGGAGAGTTGTTTTTGATTGAGCAAGTTCCAGTGGGAGCTGCAGTTAAGCAGCTGAGAGAAGGAGTAAGAGCGAGCAGAAGCCAGAGGGAGGGAGGGAGGGAGAGAGAAAGCGAGGCTGGAAGAAGCAACGATTCATGAATATCTGAGCAGCAGCGGATGCAGAGAAGGCACAGCCAGCTCAGGACGCCCTGAAGAGCAGTTGACTCCCCTTGGGAGGGCTACTTTAAATAGCTTCTTTTTCTTTCTTTCTTTCTTTCTTTTTTTTTTTTTTTTTCCAGTTAGGAAATCAGAGTTGTATATGAATGCACACTGTTTTTATGTTATGCTCATTGACATTCTTTTGAATTCTGTTCCTGAATAAAAGCCTCTTAACGGAAATGTAATCACATTTAATCGCTACCTGTCCAAATGTGGGGAAAAAAATGAAATAAAGTGCAAGCCTAGGTATAACAATGGAAGATCTCTCACTATGTAGAAGCTCTCCTAGCCTCCCCTCCTCTACTGGTCATTGCATAGTGGGCAACGGTGAAGGTAATTGTGTCTTTTTTTTTTTTTTTTTTTTTTTTTTTTTTTTTTTTTTTTTTTACTAAAAAAGCTTGTTACGAAAGAACACAATGAACATATACAAAGTATTTTATTACACACACACACACACACACACACACACACACACACGAGTTATTACCAAAAAGTATTACTGAATCCATTTGATGATGAGGAAGGTTTGGTAAATTAAAGAGTAAAGCTTTCTTCCTATTAGGTGAAAAATTTCCCAAAATATCCTTACTCATGTTATCCTTTGCGCATTGAGCTTCTTTTTAAAAAAGTCATTTAATTGTACGTGGCTCATTTTTAAATTTTTACTGTTTAATGTTGATATTTCTTGGGAATGATTTTAAAGATCAGTTTATAGCATATAGCAAAGCAAGAAAGCAAAGAAAATAAACTTGGCATCTGATCTGGCAGAAAGCCACCAACATCGGTGTGTGGCTTTCTGCCATCCCCTGACCTCACTGTGCCTTTCGGACACTGCTTCATCCATAAAATGGAGGCAGCCACTCATTCATTCATTCACTCGTTCATTTACTTAGTCATTCATTATTTGCTGTTTCATTCCATTAATAAATCTGTGACAAGCATCCTCAGGATGTGAAGGCTTTTCATAGTCATCACAGGGAACATAACTGATAAATAAGTGAAAGGCACACTGCTAATTTGAAACTGATTATGACCTCATTAAATATAACATGCCTAACATTTTTTTTTTTTTTTTTTTTTTTTTTTTTTTTTTTTTTTGCGACAGTCTCACTTTGTTGCCAGGCACCAGGCTGGAGTGCAGTGGCACAATCTTGGCTCACTGCAACCTCTGCCTCCCGGGTTCAAGCAATTCTCATGCCTCAGCCTCCCGAGTAGCTGGGACTACAGGTACATGCCACCACGTCCAGCTAATTTTTGTATTTTTAATAGAGACGGGGTTTCACCATGTTGGCCAGGATGGTCTCCATCTCTTGACCTTGTGATCTGCCCACCTCAGCCTCCCAAAGTGCTGGGATTACAGGCTTGAGCCACCGCGCCCGGCCTAACATTGTTAAAGTATTTTCATGGCAGTCTCTGGTAAGAAGAGAAACATCAGGTTAAACTGGGAAAGAAATGTATGGGTTTCATTGAATTGGACTATAAATCTCTACAGTTGGACCAGAGTTTTGGGGAATAACATGAAATCCTGTTTGCTAAATGCCTTGAGGTTTCCGAAAAGAAAATGCAATACGACTAAATGATGGCATGATAGCCGAGGGAAAACAAACTATTCATTTTGGAGAGACATGTTCAATTGTCCAAGATGCAAGTATATGTTATGTAATCTACAACACTGATAAGTTTTTGTGGTTCTTCTAAAGAGTTCATTTAAAATTGTGGTAGTTCAAAGGGAATTATTTTGAGATAATGGAAATGTTCTCTATCATGATTATGGTAGTGGTTATATAACTATGCATTTGTCAAAACTCATCAAACTTTATATAGGAAAAGGGAAACTTTTCCTGCATATAAATTATACCTCAATGGACCTCATTTTAAAAAATGATGGTCATTCAAGCTCTTTCTTGTTCCTCCCATTGCCGCTCCCCAAAAAGTGTTTTAATAGACATTTATTGAGTTTGAGTGATATATACAGGAGGGGACCTTCAAGCACTCTGGTAAAAAGGAGGTGCTAGGTGCTTTTCCTTAATTTCACATTGGCCTAGCATGCATACTGATTTGGCTGTGTCCCCACCCAAAGCTCATCTTGAATTGTAGTTCCCATAATCCCCACATGATGTGGAAGGGGACTGGTGGGAGATAATTGAATCATGGAGGTGGTTACTCTCATGCCGTTCTTGTGATAGTGAGTGAATTCTCATGAGATCTGATGGTTTTATAAGGGATTTCTCTCCCTTCTGCTCGGCACTTCTCCTTCCTGCTGCGATGTGAAGAAGGATGTGCTTGCTTCCCCTTCCCCTCTGATTGTAAGTTTCCTGAGGTGTCCCCAGCCATGTTGAACTGTGAGTCAATTAAATTTTCCTTTATAAATTACCCAGTCTCAGGTGTGCCTTTATTAGCAGTTTGAGAATAGACTAATACGCTGGTTTTAGGTAGGATGTATATTTATTTGGGGTGAAGGGGAATGATTAATAGAGATTATGAGGGAGGATATAATGACAAGCTAAATTCTATCTCTTCCCCTCAATCCATGCAACCTCTTCAAGATGCTGCCACTGTCACCTCATCTATGTTAGATCCCATGGAAGGTCTGGTGCATATAAGCATCAATAGTTTTCTTTTTTTATTTTTTTTTTACTTTTTATTTTTTGAAAAAAGACGGGGTTTCACCATATTGGTCAGGCTGGTCTTGAACTTCCGACCTCAGGTGATCCACCCGCCTTAGCCTCCAAAGTGCTTGGATTACAGGCATGAGCCACCATGCCCGGCCTAGCATCAATGGTTTTTGTCACCAAGGAACTCACAGCCTAGTAGAGAAATACACAATGTGTTAAGAATAATATATACAGTAGTCCTCCCTTATCTGAAGTTTTACTTTCCACAGTTTCAGTTATCTAAGGTCAACTATGGTGTGAAAATCAATGAGTACAATAGAATATGATATTTTTAGACAGATAGAGAGAGAGAGAGAGACACCACAGTCACATAATTTTTATTATAGTACATTGTTAAAATTATTCTGTTATTGTTGTTGTTAATCTCTTACTGTGCTTGATTTATAAATTTAATTTTATTATAGGTATGTATGTACAGGAAAAGACATAGTGTATATGTAGTTTGGTACTATCTGAAGTTTCAGAAATCCAAAGGGGGTCTTGGAACGTATCCCCCATGGAAAAGAGGGTACTACTCTGTGTGTGTGTGTGTGTGTGTGTGTGTGTGCGTGTGTGTGTGTGTGTATCAAACCTGTCTTGGAAAGAGGGTACTACGTGTGTGTGTGTGTCTGTGTGTGTGTCTGTGTGCATGTGTGTGTGTGTCTGTGTGTGTCTGTGAGTGTATCAAGCCTGTCTTGGTTTGGAGGGGGGCAGGGTGGGACTGGATGGGTAAGAGGTCCAGGAAATTTACCTAAGATGATGTTAGTGTATGGTCTTAAGGAATAAGTAGGTCAGTCAGATGAAGGAAGAGCAATATAGGGCAGGGATCCTGACCATATCTGACAGCCAATTATTTGGACTAACTTTTGGTTGGTGCGATAATAGAGAAATCCATTAACTGTGCTGTGTTGGTTACTCAGGGGTAGGGGAAAGAAGGCATCTTTTATCTCACTCTGACCTCTATTTTCATAAATAAAGCTGCCCTCGGTAAACCCAGAGTGACAGCTATTTGCTAAATGTTTCCTTTGACAGGTCTATTGTTAATACTTAGAAAGGAACATAGGTTCTGGCTTATACTAAAAAAGAAAACCACTCTGGACTCTTGCAACATCCTGTCATAAATCAAACTTATTTTAATTTAATTAACTTACTTCTTATTCCCATAAACATGCCTATTTATTTTTGTAGCATCAGCACACAGCGGAGTGCCTGGGCCATGCTAGCACTCAACAAATGGTTCTCAAATGAATTAAATAGAAACGTAGGTAGAGCTGACATCAGTGACCCTGGCACCAGACCGTTTGCAGGAATCATTAAATACCTTTAAGATTCTTCAGTCATGAATCTCTCTACCATGATAGTCAATATGCTGAGCTTCAGCAAGAGCAAATGACCTCAGTCCTCACTATTTCTTCTTTAAGTCTCAATGTACACTGTAGTCCTGGGATGACACTTCTTTTTAATGGAAAATCCCAATGTTAAAAAGAATCCCAGCAGGGTGCAGTGACTCACACCTGTAATCCCAGAGCTTTGGGAGGTGGAGGAGGGTGGATCACCTGAGGTTGGGAGTTTGAGACCAGCCTGATAAACATGGAGAAACTCCATCTCTACTAAAACTACAAAAAATTAGCCAGGCATCTCTACTAAAACTACAAAAAAATAAGCACATGCCTATAATCCCAGCTACTCAGGAGGCTGAGGCAGGAGAATTGCTTAAACCTGGGAGGCGGTGTTTGCAGTGAGCCGAGATCACATCATCGCACTGGCAACAACAGAGAAATTCCATCTCAAACAAACAAAAATTCTCCTGGGCCAGGCACAGTGGCTCATGCCTATAATGCTAACACTTTGGGAGGCCAAGGCAGGAGGATCACTTGAGCCCAGGAGTTTGAGACCAGCCTGGCAACATAGCAAGGCCCCATCTGTACAAAAAGAAAAAAAAAAAATTAGGTAGTGTGGTGATGCAAGCCTGTGGTCTAGCTGCTCAGGAGGTTGAGGTAGAAGGATTGCTTGACCCTGGGAAGTTGAGGCTGCAGTGAGCCACAGTTGTTCCATGTACTTCAGCCTGTGCAACAGCAAGACTATCTCAAAATAAATAAACAAACAAACAAATAAAAAGAATCCCTTGAACCTCTATTTGAGTTTTTTGTGGTATATTTACTTTTTATCCCAACAATATTGTTTAGGCTGTCAAAGAATAAAATAAAGCAGCTAGGTAGGACTAACCGGCAATATGTACCTGGGTGGAGAGACTGCTGCATTGATCTGGAACATCTTGTACCTAATGTTCATTCTCTAATTGTGCAATCTTCAACAAGTTCCCTCAATGCATTAAAACCTAAGTTTCTT